CACTCAGGCAACAGGCAGGCAAATCTTGGTGAGTTCAATGCCAGCATGGTCTACAAAGCGAGTTCCAGGACAGGACTAAAAGCAGAGAAACCATGTCTTGAAAAACCATAAATAAATAAATAAATAAATAAATAAATAAATAAATAATGCACCGTATTTGGCAAAAACATGGAAGCAGTAAGTGCCGTCCAATAGCGTTCTGGTTGCTTCCTCACAGGCTGAGGCAGTGTTCTTTGACTTCAGTTTGCTGTGGAAACATGTCATCAGCTCTCAAGAACAATAAAAGCCTGAGAAGTCTGGACCTGAGTTACAATGGGCTGATGGACAATGGCGTCACCCTACTCTGTAATGCTCTGGCAGATGCTGACTGCAACGTGTCGATTCTGGAGTGAGTCTCCCCCATTTTCTCCTCTGAGGCTGGGGTTCTTCTACCTTACCTTCCCTCAGGGTGCTCTTCCAGATTGTTTCTTCCGCTCAGGAGTCTGGGAGCTCCGGAGCAGTCATTCTGAAAACATGGTTTTTACCTGGAAAATGGTTAGCAATGTATATGCTGGCGGCTACCCAGAATTGCTGGCCACTCCTAAAGGCTGCTTCTCTAGAGCCTCACACACAAGTCGTAGGCAGCCCCACTGGAGAGTCTCCTCAGCAGTTATTACCGCTTATAGCAAGCAGAGGGAGGGACCTTGTGAGTCTTGTAAGTTTGGGGAACTTTCTGGGCCTTGCAAGTTTCCGTTTCTTACCTGGCTTTGTGAGCCTCCCTCCTCCTCCCTTCAGGAGGGAATGTAGCAAACAGCCATAAGCACCACTTTTACATGCTGACGAATTATTTCTAACACAGCAATTTTCTCTAGAGTTTTTTTTTAAGGTTTTATTTATTTATTATGTATACAACATTCTGCTTCCGTTTCTATCTGCACACCAGAAGAGGGCACCAGATCTCATAACGGATGGTTGTGAGCCACCACGCGGTTGCTGGGAATTGAACTCAGGACCTCTGGAAGAGCAGTCGGTGCTCTTAACCTCTGAGCCATCTCTCCAGCCCCTTCTCTAGAGCGGAATGAATTCTCCAGCCCCTGCTACTTTCTTCCCATGGAGGCTAGAATTCTCGCTGAGCTTGAAGCTTGCCAGAGGCTTGAAAAGTGCCTCAGCTGTTGTGTGATCTGGGGCTGTGCACTCTGTGTGAGCTGGGTCCTCAGATGGTGAGTGGGGCAACTCCCCTTCTGTCTGTTTCTGTCCCACAGGCTGGAAAATTGAGGCTTCACCTTCAAATCTTGCCACGCTATGGCCTCCATGGTCCGTAGCCACAGGACGCTGACATACCTGGACCTGAGCAAGAATGTCATTGGAATCAGTGGCATACTGACCTTGAGCCTAGCATTCTCGTACCATAGGCAGGCGACAGATGTCATTCTGTAAGTTTCTATGAGAACCTTGTTTCCTAAGAAGAGTACTGGAGACTCCATAGCAGCTGAGAAGAGGTTTGGTATTTTTTTTTTTACCTTAAAACGCAAAAGACTGGTATGCCAATTCGCCACACAATAGTGTTTAATGCAGTCCGAATCTCCTTTCCCTGAATTCATTTGTGGCTGGGTTCTCTGGGGAGGTGTCTTCTGGTATCTAGTATGGCTGTCTCCCTAAATCCCCTATCCTATGAGTTCAGAACACAGAGCCTCATCTAGTGTACACCCAGGGGTCCTTGTATCCTCCTGTTCTGATGTCAGGTCAGACACGAGGCGGATTCCCAATCCCAGGATGAACTGAGAGCACCTGGACTGCCAGCTAAAGGAAGCAGGGCATCAGGCCTCCTGTTTATCTGCTGTTCTTTAATGAGCTCTCCAAACAAAAGACTGTAAAGCGCTATATCTTTCAGGCCTCAGTAGGCTTCCCGAGCATAAACACAACTCAAAATCTCCTTGTGGAGAGTGAGATGCTACCATGGGTGTGGCCGGAAATCTGACTGGTTCCTGGGGACTCCCAGTCCCCTTCATGTGCCCTTTGGACTAGCCTCCTGTCTGTGGGAAAGGGATCTGTGTCCTCCTGATGCTACATTCTTGCTTTTTATCCTGTTTTCTTCCTTTTATTTTCTGGTTTTGTTCCTTTTGTTTCTATTTAGCCCTCCCTGACTGGCTTCAAACTCATCATGCCCCTGCCTCAAGCATCTGAGTGCCAGGGTTTTATGACATGTACCAACATGCCCTTCTCCTTCAATCCTTTCCAAGTTGTAGACTTATTATTATTAATAATTATAATAGTTATTATTATTTATACTGCTTAGTGGTCGTGTGACTGGGAATAATCTTATCTGCCTTTAGACTTTGGGTGGGTTCTTCACCCATGAGATTTCAGGAATATTTGGGTGAATGTGTATTTGAGACACTGAGCACTGTCATGTTGTCACCCAGGGTTGGCTATGGGCGCAGGTGTCATTGTGCCTGGTGTATTCAGCACCCACACTATGTTGCAAATCACCTCAACATGTGATCACCTAAAGCAGGGAGCAGACTTTCTGATGGGCAGAACTACAGGAGCCGTCTGGCCAGCCATTCAGACCATGGTCTCTCACCATGGTGCCAGTGAGGCCGTTGGCTGGGTCATGATGGGAGCCAGGACGCTGCTGTTCACGCGTGGCCTGTATTGTTCTTCAGAGGGTTGCTTGTGACATTAGCTAGTTTCTTCCAGAATGCATGACAAGAGAGATGCCAAGGAACACGGCGAGACAGACACATGGAAACAGATACAGAGAGACATGCAGAGACAGAGAGAGAAAGAGAGACAGAGAGAGAGGGAGGGATACTAAGAGAGAAAAACAGAGGCAGAAATAGACACACAGAGAGAAATGCAAAAATGCAAAGAGACACAGAGACAGACACATTTAGCAGAGACACATGGAGGCAGAGATGCTAAGACACTGGAAGACAGACACACACCAAGAGTCAGAGAGAAAGGGACACTGAGATACTTGGGGGGGCGGGGAAATGGAGTCACATGGAGACACAGAGACAGAGAGAGGCTGTGTAGATATGCACAGAAACACGGGACAGACAGAGACATGGGTAGACTCTCAAAGGTCCACGTAGACAGAAATAGACGGGACAGAAACAGATGCAGAGAAACGAAGAGAGCTGAACAGCATCACATAAAACACAACACGCAGAAAAAAGAGAGGCCGGGAGACAGACAGAGACACCTACACGGTGACACAGAGAGACAGGGGACAGACATCATGACACATAATGCAGAGACAGAGAGAGACACACACAGAGCCATTTACTGACAGACATACAGACACAGAGATGCAGAGCCATTCACAGAGAGACACACGGGGAGACAGAGACAGACACACAGATACGGAGGTAGAAAAGAGACAGAGACCCCCCATATAGAGACACGCTTAGGCCAAGAGCCAGAAGGCAGCAGACCTTCCTACCTTTCAGCGTAAAACCCATACCCCTGCTTTGTTCTGCTGGACACTCAGGTCAGACCTATAGGGAATGTACTGTATATGTTTATCTTACTGATTGTTGAATAAAATACTGTTTGGCCAATGAGACAGCAAGTTAGACGGGACTAGGAGTCAAAGAGGATTCTGGGAAATGTAGTAGAGAAGTGGTGATCCAGGCAGGAAGTGACACAGCAAGGAGACTCATATCTAAGGGAGGAAACAGGAAGGGCCCCTCTTTTCCCCCCCTCCGATCCTGCTCCAGTGGCACAATGTGAGCCACCGGCAAGGAGGGACGCCAATAAGGCGCCCGATAAGTCTTATAAAACATATAGGTTTATGATAGTTAAGACTGAGCTAACAGATGAGAAATCCTAGTCATTGGCCACGCAGCTTTGAACCTAATACAAGTTTCTGTGTATTCATTGGGGCCTAACTCGGGCAGGCAGCTGGCGTAAAGCTCACACGTGGCGGTGGGGCTCTGGCAGCTTTTGGTGGAAAGATTTATTGTAACACTAGTCCACCAGGATGTGAATGGCAGTCCCTAGGCTATGAGGGGAGTGGTTGGGGCATTGCTTTCTGTGTGTCCCAAGTTGGTGAGTCACAGCCCAGGAATCCAGGCCCAGAATGTTGCTTCTTTACATGGCTTCATAATGTAGACCCGGGTGGCCTCAGACTCATAGATCTCCTCCAGTCTCTGCCTCCTGGGCTTGCTAGGATTAAAGACCACTACAAGTGCCAAGTCACAGCCAGATTGCTCTTTGTTTAATCCTAGCTGGTCTCCTAGATAGCAACTTGGTGTGCTAGAGTTTTCCTGGCTTTTCTGGGATTGCAAAGGAATCTTTTATTTTTTTTTTTACAATTTTTTTTATTAATTTATTGTTTACATTCCAATCCCAGTTTCCCCTCCCTCCGCTCCTCCAGCTCCCCCTGCAAAGGAATCTTCCATGTGAGACACCAAGCCTTGTTCTTTGCCTTCCCAGGAAGAAGAAACCGAATGCCGCACTGGACATGTACACAAGACTGAAGGGCCCAGTCGCAGAGGATGGCCGGCTGGAGATCATGCAAGACTGGAACTCTAACTGTCACAAGATGCCAGGGAGGCCTCCAGAGACCTTCCGGACTCACGCTTTCTAAGTTAAATGGGAAGCAGCTGCTGTTTTGCAGGCCCTTCTTTGTGTGGAACAGGCTAGTTTGTTCAGGAGCTTGGTGTGGGCTTCGCCTCCACAGCCCCCTCCCGGGTTAGGGACTATTGGTACATTCATGAGCACGTCAGATTCTTAAGTGGGACCGGGTGGTTAGGAGGGTTGGGAAATCTGTTTCACCTGCTGGGATGCTGGGGAGAACTAAATTAAATACACCAGCGATGCAGCGTGGACAAGTGTTATTGACCAGCACACGCACTATTCAGAGGAAAGAAAACTGTTCCTTGTGTAAACGTTGGTTGCCGTAGGAAATTTCCAAGGGAAGTGACACCATCGGGTTTAAGAAGGACAAAGAGACAACGAGGTGGAAATAGGGCTACACAGGCAGAGAGATAAAGGGACAGAGATAAAGAGACGTATAGAACAAAAAAAAAAAATATGGGAAGTCATGTAAAGTGGCACCATACAATGACAGACAAACGAGGAGGCAGAGACGGGGAGACAAAGGCCCCCCGGGGAGAAAGACAGAAAAGCAGAAGACACAGACAGGCAGAGGCACGTCACACAGAGAGACATACCCATAAAGACACAGGGACACAGAGTCACACAATCAGAGGCGGAGATGCCCAGAGACTGGGGGCTTCAACACTGGTGAGGTGTAACTGTGTGGGGTCTGACCCGAGCTATTAACAAACAGCTGGACACCTGTGCATCCATGCTGAGGGCAGCTGGACTCCATCGAGGGGCTGCAGAGATGCCTCGGGAGGGTTAAAGTGCCTGCTGGCCTCAAACTCATCCTCCTCCTGCCTCAGCCTCCTGAGGACCAGGGTCACAGGCAGGGGTGCGTCCTGGGAAATAGTGCAGCTGTATCATACAGTAGTTCTATTTTTTTGAGGACCCTTCCTACATACTGATGTACAGGTACAGAAAGCGTACAGATAAGATCCACTGGTATGGTAATGTCTCTTGGCAGGCACCAAGTTTGATCCTGGATTGTGAACCACCACCGTAAAAATGATGTAGCATTATTTTTCTCTCTTCCTTTGTTTTTCAATTCTTCTCTCATCCTGGCTGCCGTTTCCCCTCCTTCCTCTCCTCTCAGTGCCCCTTCTCGCTCCCCTAGACCCACTCCTCTTCTGTGTCCCTTCAGAAAAGAGCAGGTCTCCCGGGAAGAGCAACCTAACATGGCAGACCAAGTTACAGCAAGACCTGGCACATAACCTTATCAAGGCTGGACTAGGCAATCCAGTAGGAGGAAGGGGTCCAAGGGCTGGCAAAAGAGTCAAAGATACCCCAAGTCCTACTGCTAGGAGCCCTGCAAAAACAGCAAGCTGACAACCACAGCATATGTGCAGAGGACCCATCAGGCTCTGTGTTGGCTGCTTCAGCCTCTGTGAGCCCCTAGGAGCCCTGCTTAATTGATTCCGTTCTCCTGGTATCCTTGACCCTCTGGCTCCTACAATTCTTCCTCCCCCTTTCCCACAGGGTCACCGGAGCTCTGTGGGGAGGGATCCCATGGAGATCTCCAATATGAGCTCTCTGTTTCTGTTTAATATTTTGTTGAGTTCTCTTCATTCTCTCCCATCAGCAGCCAGAGGAAACCTCTCTGGTGATGACCGGGCGAGGCACCAATCTACTAGCAATTATCTTTTGAGCAGCGGTGTCTGGGCCAGCAAGATGCTTAATGGGTCAAAGGGCTCACCACCTGATCTCAACTCCCTCTCCAGGACTCACACAGTGGAAGGAGAGAAATGACTCCCGTCAAGTTAACTTCTGACCTCCATGTGCGCAATGGCATGGACACACCCACACATAATCAGCCAATGATGAATAATAAAGGTTGAGGGAGGTTTGACCACCTGTCCATTTAGAGCAGGCTGGCTTGAACTTTTTCAAACCTCCTTCCTTCTACCAGCCAAGTGCTGGAATGACAGGTCTGCCCTGCCATGCCTGGTTTTCTGAAATGCTGGGATCAAACGTGGGGCTTCCTGTAGGCTAGGCTTGCGTGCTACCACTAAGCTGTGCCCTCAGCCCAAATGGCTTCATTATTATAAATCAGTCTAGTTTTTACTTTATGTTATTCCTAAGTGTGAGCCGGGCGTTGGTGGCGCACGCCTTTAATCCCAGCACTCGGGAGGCAGAGGCAGGTGGATCTCTGAGTTCGAGGCCAGCCTGGTCTCTGAGCGAGTGCCAGGATAGGCTCCAAAGAGACACAGAGAAACCCTGTCTTGAAAAACCAAAATAAATAAATATTCCTAAGTGTGTGTGTGTGTAAGTGTGTGGGTTTGTGTACATGAGTGCCGACAGAAGCCAGAAGGGGTCCCATTCCCCCTAAAGCTGGAGTTTAGGTGATTGTTAGGCATCCTATGTGGGTTCTGGAAAGTGAACTCAAATCTGCAAGAGCAGCAAGCACTGAGCCATTTCCTCAGCCCCTTCTCAAACCAGAACCCCCATTCCACTCATCCCCCGTGACCCCACACAACACATAAAGGACGTGCAGAAAGTTTTTACAATTATTTTAGCTAAGTCATTGAAGTGGTTATTTTCCTTTATTTTTTTTTTTTTAGTTCATTTGAGCTGTTGCAGTCCGACTGCTTTTAGCATATTAGAGACATCAGATGTCATTCTGGTCAGTGTGTGCAGCACAATTGTGCTGGTGTGGAATGATGAAGTCAAGATAATCAACCTATCATAACAGGGTGGGGTGGTGAGGGGAACGGAGACAATTTACTAAAACACACTGTGTTCAGCAAGGGTGGGGAGTGGTGGCCCAGGGGTTAAGGGCATTTCCTACTCTTTCTTTTTTTTTTTGAGACAGGGTTTTTCTGTGTAGCTTTGGAGCCTATCCTGGCACTCACTCTGTAGACCAGGCTGGCCTCGAACTCACAGAGATCTGCCTGCCTCTGCCTCCCTTGTGCTGGGATTAAAGGCGTGCGCCACCAACGCCTGGCCATTTCCTACTCTTGAGAGGACCCTAGTTTGGCTCTCAGAACGCACACTGGGAGTCTCACAACTGCTTTTAACTCCAGTTCTGGTGTTTGATGCCCTCTTCTGGCTTCCACGGGCACCGGAACTCACACGGTACGTAACCAGCTAGTGCAGGCACCGATGTATACACGTAAATAAACATTGAAAGTCTTCGTGACATCATGATACACAATGCCCGGTGTGCTAACAGCGAAGCATTATTCATAGTAGCCAAGGAGTGGCATTAGCCTGAGTATCCATCAGTAGATGGGTGGAGAAACAAATTGTGGCATGTGTACATAACACAATAGTATCAGCCATTACAAAGCAAGAAATGCTGTTATTTGCAGCAGCATGCAAGAACTGTTCATAGAAAACATGATGCTCCATGAAGTATAATAGGCACAGAAAGACAAACACGCATGCCACCAAGACACTTGACCTCAGAAGCAAATGTAGTTAGCAGAGGCTGGGGAGGAAGGAATTGGAAGGTAGAAGGTGCGATGTTTTAAGTAGGAGGGCTGCTCCACAAGGAAGCAGCTGTATTTAGGTATAATTCAGACTGGCAAGGTGGCCTAATGGGTAAAGGGGCTTGCTGTCAAACCTGATGACCTGAGTTCAATCCCTGGGTCTCCCATGGTAGAAGGCGAGAATCAAATCCCACAAACTGTCCACACACACACACTCGGCTGCATGCATACACACACACACACACACACACACACACACACACACACACACACACACACACTCAGCTGCATGCATGCACACACTCATACACACACACACACACTCACTCATATACACATACACATGCACACAGTGACACACAGACAAGTGCACACAAACAAAAACAGGCTAAAAAGATGTAAGTTTTTAAAAATTAAGAATAGTTTATTGCAGGGGCCATGGAAATGGCTCGAGTTGCATAGTGCTCACTGTGCAAGCCTGAGGACCAGAGTTCAAGCCCATAACCCATGAATTAAAAAGGAGGGGGTTGTGTGCTCCTAGCCGGGCGTTGGTGGCACACGCCTTTAATCCCAGCACAAGGAAGGGAGAGGCAGGCAGATCTCTGTGAGTTCGAGGCCAGCCTGGTCTCCGAGCGAGTGCCAGGATAGTCTCCAAAGCTACACAGAGAAACCCTGTCTCAAAAAAAAAAAAAATGGGGGGGTGGAAAAATGGCTCAGTGGTTAAGAGAACTTACTGCCCTGTTCTTGCAGAGGACCTGGGTTCAGTTCCCATCACCCATGTGGCAGATCACATACCCTCTTCTGACCTCCCTGGGCACCACCTCCCCACACACACACAGTACAGACATGCATGCAGGCAGAATACACTCACATATAAAACAAAAATAATAAATTCTTTAAAAAATAAACAGCACCTGGGGAATGACACCCAAAGGTGACCACTGGCCTCACACACACACACACACACACACACACACACACACAGACACAGGCATATACACACATACACAAACTTACACATCCCAGGACTCGGGAGGCAGAGGCAGGCAGATCTCTGATTTCAAGACCATCCAGGTCTACCGAGTGAGTTCCAGGACAGCCAGGGCTACACAGAGAAACCCTGTCTCGAAACCCCCACCAACCCCAAAAAAAGATTTCAAAATTTGCTAAAGATAAAATGTCAAAAATTCCCCCATGACATAAGTATTCAAAAATGATATTTAGCTTAATTAATCATCTCACAACGAATATACTTAATGCCATTTTGTACTTCACACATACACAGGAATATGATTGTCAGATTGTAGTAAAATTAAAAAAAAAAAAAAAAATGGAAATGCCAAGCACTACTTCCAGGCTGAGTTTTTAAAAGGTGAGGACCCCGAATGCACGCTGCTCAGAAATACCCAGTGGGGTTTGCGAATATCCCAGGCTCTGCGCTCGCTGGTACCAACGGGTCTCCATCTGGAGAAATAGATCCGTGGTTGTGAGCCATGAGCCCAGGACTTTAGCTTGGAGCACTGCACCCACATTCACACAAC